CTGTGTCCTTCCTTGTTGCTGTTACTGGTGATCCGACCTTTTCTTTCGATTTTCTTTGAGCAGTTCTTGACAATTTATCATGGCTGTTTACTTCCAAAACATTGTCTTTCGATCTTTGAACAATAATGTCTGTTCCGATGATTCATTCCGGTCTTTTTTAAGGCTGTCAAGCGATTTCATCATGTTTTCGATTATCTTTTGCTGTAAAATCACTATTTCTTTAAATTCTTTGAGTTCAATTAAAGCGGAAGTAGTAACACCGGAAGCAGAAAGACATTCTTTCGTCGTGGGACTGCTACTAGCTACTGTCACTTGCACGTATGCTCGAGTAAGGTCATAGGTCATCTTCCTGAGAATCTGTATTGTATCTTAGAATTTACTATGATACCAGGTCTAGTTAAGAACAGTGCTACGGTACGGCATTTCTTTAACAAAGATTTTTGCTCATCGATCACGGAATCAGAATGAGGTCGCAGCTTTAGATTTTTCCGTCTTTCATCAGTCACTCAAAATCTCACGATTAATATATTTTTTGCTTAAATTTTGACACGCGGCTGTACGTTAGCAACGTTAAAAGCTTTTTTACACTGTCTGTGTTTAAGATTTCCTTTTATTCACTTCAGGAGTATGCTCTCACATTTTAATGCATTAGACATTCTTACTGCTTTCAAATGTTGCTCTTTCGACTGAATGATATATTTACTTATAAGGCAGGATCAGGTTGAGAACACACTTGTGACACAGCTGCAAATTTAGGTGAAAAAGAATCTCCCGATCGGGTGTACGCGGCAAAACATCTTAAAACTGTCACGCCTCGAAAAAACACTTATAGATTTTTATACAATACAGCTTTTAAACATATTATAGTTTGCGGGGAATATTTCTGCGGTTTTCGATATTCTGCGAACTCAGAAATTTCAACGGCTTGTTTAGAATTTTTTTTCTTACTGCCGCCAGTCAAGAACATAAAACATTTATAAAAGATTCATAAAAGATTTTTTTCTTGAGAATTAAAAATAATTACTGATAATATATTGGGAATAATGCCAATTCATTCAGCTTTTCTTCAGTGATGACAACAAGAAACACACCCAACACGTTTTCTTTAAGTTAAAGTTATTTAGTTTATTTTTCCAAACCTTTGACAAAAATTCGCTTTTACCTGTTGATCAAGAAAAATATAGCCCTAAGTATAGCGTTTTGCCAGGTTGAAGCTCAAAATTGTGGTAGCTTTTATGGTGCGCTCATACCTTAACTGTGCTTTGTTTACATTTATAAAACAACTTTACCTTTGGCAAGAATAAGCTTGTGAATGTTTAAAAATGCCCGCAAAAGCCCTCGAAAGCAAGTCCATAAAAAAGTTCCACTTCAATGAATAAATATAAACCAAAACCGATTCGTAAAATGTGAGGAATAGTGTTGACTCAAAAAAGACTCAACAAAAATTCATTTCCGTACAAGCCTTAATACTGCAGACAAATTGGTTCACATTTTCTTGTACAGTTTTCCATATAATAGGCAACATAAGCAAGTCAATCATCTTAAAAGAATAAAACATTATGGTACGTTTATAAAGGGACATGAAATTTCGAAATACTCTAACCAATCATGGAGCTTCACTTAATTGTTTAGCAACCAATCAAATCGTAAACGTCTTCATTTGTCACTCTTATTGAGGTTAGTTTGCATCATTTGAATCGAGCCAACTCTGGGTCGTTGTCACATATTTTGAGAGAAAACATTCGTATTTAGGAAGCAATGCTTACCTCACATCGGAGGTGAAAATTATTAGAATGAATAGCCACAAAGCTATAATAGCTGGGATATTTGTGGTACCGGTTTTTCTCTTTGGTATTATTGGCAACTTGTTTGTAGTAATTGCTGTATCAAAGAAACGATCTCTGCGATCGACTACCAACTATCTTCTCTTGAACCTAGCTATTTCAGATGTGACCTGCTTAATTTTCGCTTCCATGGCAGTTTTCGCTGAATATATCCCCTTAACGAGCGGTACACTGGCAGACATTTTGTGCAAGTTTTTTTTATCCTACCATGTTCCTACTATGGCAAGCATCGTATCTATACTAACACTAGCTGTACTTGCTGTGGAGAGATACCACGCTGTTGTCAAGCCGATGAAAAGGTGGATGAGACTGAAAGAAAACACCGTCAAGTATGCTTTCGGTGCAATTTGGCTGACTGGGTTTCTCTTTACACTACCTATATTCATTAACGGTTACTATAAGGAGACATCGAAGTCATGTCGACAATATTTATACTGGAATCGTTTGGACTTCCTTATCTATCAAGTCTCAATCGTTAGTTTCGTCGTCTTCATTTCCTTTGCTGTGATAGTGGTATGCTACTTTCATATCGTTAGAAATTTATATTTCAGGAAGAAAAACGTTAATTTTGGAGAGCATTCAGCAGCAGAAAGACTTCGTAATCAACGCAAACGTCATGTAGTCAAACTTTCTCTCTCAGTCACTTTAGTATTTGTTGTATTTCTTCTTCCTTTTGCAGTTTTGGCGATTATGAAGTTCTTTAATGAACGAGCCTACCGAAGCTACTACAAAATAGCCGTCATTTTCTTTTTCTCAGAAGCTGGTATCAACCCATTTTTGTACGCTTTTCAAAGTACGAACTTTCAACGGGCGTTCAAACAGATATTGAAATGTTCCTAAACTTAACCAATAACGCCGATATAAAGGTCTTCAATAGAGAAGCTAAATTTTCTTCCTTCCAAAAAATCAGCTACTAAATTCTGAGCCTCTTACTAGTTTGTCTTAGTTCCCGTCCACAAGTATCCGGATACTTTTGAAAACAGATATTTTTCGGGCGAAAACGGTTAGAACGTGCTAAGTCGTGTGGATACGCTTGTCCTGATTTGTGTGGAAGGGGTAGTTAGTATTCACTCCTAGCGCGATGGACATGAAATGTATTTCAAAATTACATATTTTGCAACCATCAGGTTTCAAGGATCCACTATTTTGATGTGATTTCAGGAAATAAACTTTTAGATACTGAAATGACAACAATCAAGATGTAAATAAACTTTGAAAAATTTACTGTGGCGCACCCTAGGGAACTATACTTGCACCATCGTTTCACGCCTTTTTCACAAAAAAGTAAACATATAACAATGTGTTAGTATTTGGAAACAGAACAAAGCAAATAAACCTTTGTGCTCCTAAGAAAGTGACTGATGAATGAACTTGACATAATTAATGGCTATTGCCTTTACTGTTGACGATGAAGTACACTCAAGTATATTCGAGTACATTCAAGGTCACAATCCATATTTAAATAGGGTTTACTTTTGTTTCTGAAACAGAATAAATCATCATTCTGAGATTGCAAAATCTACATATATAGAATAGTTATTGAACTTTTATTTTTTAACTTAGAGTTGAAGTATGCATTAAAATATTAAAAATTAATTCCTTTTTCGCTCAAAATAGTAAATTATGATCTCTCTTTAACCGAGTGCCAGCTTTTTCCCCACTGCCTAGCTTTATAACTCTAACTCATACGTGCCACGAGTCATGTATGCAACGCGACGTGCTTCTCAACACTTCTTTCTTGTTCTGCCAATCCCCAACTGTCCCCAAATCCGCAGAACTGCAGTTTCTATTTCTTGATCATACCTGGATTTTATCATAGATATTCATTTTTAAGAACATTTTGCATGACTGAAAATCTCACGGGAAATCTTAAACTACGACCAGTCGGTATATTGGTGAGCGAAGATCTTTTGCGCTGTGACGAGTTTTCCCCTAAGATGATCAAAATGGTTCTTGCACCAAACATTGCATTTCGTTTAACCGTGTCGAGTGTTATACAAATCGGCTTTATTATATTTACTGAAATTTAGAAAAATAACTCAGATAAACAAAGTTCTGCTACGATCGACTATGAAAATTATTTAAAGTAAAGCATAACTTTGTGCGTCTGAGTTCGGCTTCTGTCTTTGTTTTCACTACGTCACTCACGCGCAGCGCTATTCTAGCTCCATCGCCGTTACCTAGCTTGGCAAAAATAAGCAAACATCGTTGAAATCCACTTTTCTAACTATCTCACGATGTCGATGAGCTGCATATAAAAGACTATATGTTGGAATAACTATACCCAAACGTTTAAGAATTCTTTACTTTTAAATCATTTTTTATTCCTTTAATTTTAACAAATATAATGAGTTTACTGAGATGCAGAACTTAAAAAATTCTTTGGTCTTCCTTATCTTCTATTGTATGTATATATAAAGGATAAATAAAGTTATTGATTGATTGAATAAAGGCATTTCCATTAAGCTTGAAGCGTTATCTTTATGAATGCTAGATGAGAAAAGTACTGCGGTTTTCCATATTCTCCGAACTCGGTAGTTGCGAGCTGCACGCTGAAATTTAGTTATTCGCTGTCGACAATCAAAAATAATCATTCAGTAACTTTTATGTTCTTGACTGGTGGCAGTAAAAAACAATTTTACAACGAGCCGTTGAAATGTCTGAATTTCGCAGAATATGGAAAACCGCAGTAACATATTACGTTGTGTTCTAGGTTTAGCCGAAACATTTTTATCGTGTGCTAATGGTGTTGTTAGACCAGCCTTAGACCAGAATTCCAGTTTATCGCCCCACTTCTAGACCGGGAAAGGTTGGGTAGTAAAGCAGTTTTATTGGTATTTGAAAATCAACTTCGTTTTTCGAGCGATGACAACGAAAATGAAAAAGGGTGACAAAATTTGCAAGTCCATCATCAGAATTCAGACCACAGCTCTTTGCAAGAGCATCATTTCTTATTTAACGGTTGAACACTCATGAAAAAAACGTTATAGGTACAAATCAAACAAAGGTTCTTATTCTCTAGGAATGACACGTAGTCTGAAATTGGTCAACATTGCACCACAGCAAATTAGGACTATAATCCGAATCTCTCCATTCAGCAACTGTTCAATCTGCCAGCGGTACATCCCGGTCATTGATGCACCTACATTAATGCACCTACTGGCGACAAGAGAGTATTAGTTTAAAAGCCCGACGAAAATTAGTGCTTTGAAAAGCATACAAGAATGGGTTTATAATAGTCTGTGCAAAGTATAGCACGCTGGCTGTCTGAGAGTACTTGCGCGGGAACCTGCTAGAATCCAGTGTTGTCAAACTTATAGTTATTGCCAGAGGAAAAAAACAAAGTACGAATGCAGTGGTGACTGAGATGGATAACTTCACGATTTTTCTCTTATTTAATGCGTCTTGTTGTGCTGCAATGTTCTGTGGTGCCACTTTGTTCTTGAAGTACAGCTCACGAACGATTTGGAAGTAACAGAAAGTGATGATGATAAATGGGAGGAAAGTAACAATAAAATTAAAACTGTAGACAAAAACTTGCTGAAAAGTCTTATCACTGTTATGAAGACATATCTTCGTTGTAGTGTCATAATATCCGGAGATATAAAGAGGCAGCGTCAAAATTATTGCACTAATCCACACTGCAACGATGGCATATTTTACGGTATCTTTTCTCAGTCTTATTCCCACTGTCCTCATTGGTTTCACGATGGCGTGGTACCTTTCTACAGACAGAACAACTAGAGTGAGGGTCGATACAATACTTGCCGTCACAGGAACGTGGTAATAAATGAAAAACTTGCAAAGAAAATCAGCCAAAATCCCTTTTTCAAATCTGACATACCGTTGAATCAACATGAAGGGTAGAAATATTGCGTTCACAATGTCTGCTACAGCAAGATTTACCAGAAGATAATTGGTTGTCGATCGTAGAAACCTCTTTTTCCGTACTGCAGCTACCACCATCGAGTTGCTAGCAATAGCTAAGGACAGCAATATTAGTGCGAAAAGAAATGGAATGAAGTCATCTGAGAAATCAAAAGCCTTCATGTTTGGTCACAGCTATTTTTCAACTTTCCACTCTGATTCAAAATGATAGTTTACTCACGAGGTAAACTGACGTCTTACACGTCTGCAGCCTATAAACGCATTAGTTTAGTCTGGCCGGCCCGTTTCCTCAACTGTGGTTACTTTCTAGATGTTTTTGAGAATAATTTCAATTGTTATTTAACCATTTATTCCATTTATCTCTTGCGATAGTGTATAATGCATTAATCATTTTGACATATTGAAGGATACATTCAGTTCAGGCGGGAGAACTGTATTATCCGAATTACTAATAATCAGGAAAGCTGAATATATATCTCGAGATTGATTTAATATAGATGCAGGATGAACTTCAAATATAACAATATGAATCCTTTTGGCTTTGTATTGACTCTTACTTAAGGATGCTGGAAAGTGTTTTGTGCCTTCACATTATGAACTAAAAAAAAATATTATGGCTATAATATGACAGCAAGTGAACCCCTCTGTAAGGGGCAATTCCTAAAAATCAATAAAATTTGTTTGGAATAGTTCCCTCTTGCAGATTTTTTTCTTTTTTTGTGAAAAAGAAGATTACGATACAAAGTTTAAATATTCCAGTTTTTAAAAAAATTCACCATTTGGTTCCTGAGTTATGATCTTTTAAATAAACATTTTTGATGGCATACCAAGGGTTCTGATGTTGTCATAGCAACGTCTTACGTCATTTTTTAAATATTCATTGTGATCATTGGTTTATGGTCTTTGGCTTTCCGGGTTTACTTGCTGTCATATTATAGCCATAATAATTTTTTTAGTTCATAATGTAAAGGCACAGAACACTTTCCAGCCTCTTTGATAACTTTCAAAATTAAAAAAAATATTTGAGTGTAAAGAACCTAAATTCAAGAGTGGTAGACAGATAGGATGTAATCAGGAAAATAATTATTAATGGGTGTTCCACTTATTAAGAGCAGATGTCCACTAATATCGAGCAAAATCGAGAACTCGCGATCACAGTCAAAATTTCGATTTAGCACATCTTTGGTTTGCTGGAAGGTATCACTGAGTAAACAAACGTGGTGTAGTTAGGTTTTTTGAAAAAACGCTAAAATTCTGAGAAATCCGAGAAAAACTATTGGCCTAGCGGCGACCTAAAAACGATGCAAGTTTTAGTTGAATCAGACAGGTTCCAAAAACAGCTAAAGCATGCAGAATAGGAAAAAGATATGAAAACTATATATGTTTATAAATTGATAGAAGAGATGTTTGTAACTTGATTGGGTATAAAGTATCGATTTTAGCTATTTATTGAAAGCGGTCATATGATATTTAGAATTGAGCGGTATTCACACATAGATCTAACCCTTGCTACGCCAAAAAAAAAAATTAATCAAGTGCGCAACTTTTTTTCTCAATGAAACTCACGTCATGAACTATTTAGATGTTCTTCTAGAACATATCCAAAAATTAGTTTGGATTATTGTATTTAGGGTTCATACGGAGGCCGTGAACATTGGGTACTTTAACATATACCGTGACTGAAATAGACAAGTGTTTGTTCTTTTGGAATTTAAACCCTATAATGCATTCAATTCTTTTTAAAAAATACCTTTTATCAGCAATTTACATTATTTCAGCAGTTACAACATTCGTTTAGTTAGATTCGGATTTCGCGACAATCTCAGTATTTTATTTTCACATTGCTATTCGGCGACTTTTTGCAAACTTTTGCACATTTTCATTTAGCTATAAAAGTGGGGTGTGTGCCTTGTGGAATCGGAATGGAGATTAAGACGAGCAGTCCGTCCTTTAACCACTCTCACCTGGGGAGAAGGTAAAAAGGAGACTCAAAGGCTACACTTCAAAGCGTCATGGAGTCGTTTTCTTGTGTTTTTAATGAGGAGAAATCTTTTAAATTTCAGAGCATTGATTTCTAATTCTCAAAAAAAACAACCCTTCGTTTGTGGTTCGACCTTGTTTTTTGTTTTGTTTTTTTTTTAGGAGGAGGAGGAGGGTGGTGAGGACCTTTTGCTTTCCTCCCCTACTCCCTCCTTCCTTTCTTCCTTTCTTCCTTCCTTTCTTCCTTCCTTCCATTTTCCCCTTGCTTTTTCCTTGCTTTTCCTTCCTTTTCCTCCCTCCCTCCATCACTCCCTCCCTCATTCGTTCATTTCTATGTTTCTTCGTTTCTTTGTTTTTCTCTTTTTTGTTTTCATGCACTAGTCAATTGAAACCCCACCCCTCGACCTCCTAGAAAGGACGGAGAATTTAGTAATAACGGGGCTCTTATATAGCGCATTTTACATGGTCTCAATGCGCTTCACAATCGTGATCAGTGGAGGACTTTACAGGCTGTGTATTTAGGCGTCAATAGCAGCTAGCCGTGCAGCTTACAATCATGAGTGATTTGTTAGTATGTTAGTGTTAATGCCTCCAGATCGCGATAGGCTGTTGAACCGGGAGACAATCCCCTACTCTTATATGAATAATTCAACAGGTTTTTTTATGTCCCCCATTTTACTGTAGGTTAGGAAGGTTTGGGAGACAGGTTTTAAGTCCTACGGTTTTAAGTCCTTGTCCGAGAAAACTTGCAGTCTAACCATTTGCAGATGTAATTACAAAGGCAGCACCTTCTCCTCAGTTATTTTAAGACCCTGAATGTTGGTCCGGCCGAGGCTAGAAACACGACCTCCCGCACAACAGACCGGAATCTCTTACCAACTGAGCTAGCAGGGTGTCGGTTTAAACTTAACATTTATGTAGTGTTAAAACCCCCGCCCTGTCCAGGGTACACAGGAAAATATTTGCTGTTAAAATTAAAATTAACATTTAACCAAAAGCTTCGCTCCTTGGAACGTTGTTCTAATTGGGCATGTACATCTTATCATTTGGGATTTTGCGGAATGCCGACAAACGTGCATGAAACTGTTTTATTATTTGATTTAAAAGCATATTATCCTTAATGGCTTTTGCATGTCCATTTTCCTTTTTAAACTGCATTGATTTTGTGCGATGTAAACCGTACCCGAAATCTTGGGATTTCTCATAAGGAAAGTTTTTAAAGCTGAAACTATCTTATCAGGGGGAGGTCTTTAATTGTGTCGTCAGTTTTACTGGCTTAAGCTGACTGTTTGTTTCTTTAGAGAATCTTCCTAAACGAATGTTGTAACTACTAAAATAATGTTAATTGCTAATAAAAGGTATTTTTTTAAAGGAAAAGCATTTTCGGGTTTAAATTCCGGATGAAAATAGAAACCAATGAGAAAATAGCGACCAGAAAGAACAAACACTTGTCGATGTCAGTCACGGTATGTATGTCGATAATGTATCAATGTTCACGGCCTCCGTATGAACCCTAAATACAATAATCCAAACTAATTTTTGGATATGTTCTAGACGAACATCTAAATAGTTCATGACGTGAGTTTCATTGAGAAAAAAAGTTGCGCACTTGATTGATTTTTTTTTTTTTTTTTTTT